GAGAAACCCTGTCTTGGAAAACCAAAAGAAAAAAAAAAGAAATCTTTGGGAGAGGGGTGTTGTTTTTTTTAGAATTGCTTCCTGCCGTTTAGGGGGCAACAGTATCTCTGTGGGGGCCTGTGAGAAAGTTCAGATAATTAGGTCTCCATAGGGCTAGCTGTAGATTCTGTAGCCAGTCTCAGAGTAATGGGTAAGGTTGTCTGAGATTCTGGCTAGAAGTGTAGCATGATGGACCATCTTGTCTTGGAACTGTCCTGGAGAGTTTCAGTCCAAAGTTGATCACTGAGTAATGTTCATGGGTACCATGGCATCATTTGGGACTGGGTAGAGTCATTGTTATGGGGCCTCATCTTCCTTTTGGAGCCTTCAGAGATTGTTATTGGAAAGACTTTTTTTTACTGTGGAAAACTTGAATATTTTTAATATCAAAATGAAAAGTTTGGATTTATTCTGGATAGAGAAAAGATTCTCTGAAAGCAAGGACGAGCATGGGAAAAAACAGAATCATAATGACAATGGTCCCTCGATTATTGGTTTTTCTTTTGTCCCATACCGGGTGGCTTTTCTGATATGAGACAGAATCTCTTAATTTTTTTTTTCTTTTAGCAACATGCTTGGGTTTAGAGAAGGAGAGAGTCATATTCCAACTCCAAAACCAGTTTGATTTATAATTGAATTGGGACTGTAACTTTTCTAGAGTTAAAGAGATACAGACATTAGGCAGTGAGATATCACCTTGTATAGATTGGTACCAATAGGTTCTCTACTTCTGCTGTAGATGTCTGGGTATCCAAGGCCTTATGATTTCTGGAAGATGGGTATTTTTCGAGACAGGGTTTCTCTGTGTAGCTTTGCGCCTTTCCTGGGACTCACTTGGTAGCCCAGGCTGGCCTCGAACTCACAGAGATCCACCTGGCTCTGCCTCCCGAGTGCTGGGATTAAAGGCGTGCGCCACCACCGCCCGGCTTGTTTTGTTTTTTGAGACAGGGTCACTGTATAGCTCTGGCTGTCCTGGAACTCACTCTGTATACCAGGCTGGCCTCAAACTCACAGAGATCTACCTGCCTCTGCCTCCCAAGTGCTAGGATTAAAGACATGCACCACCATTGCCCAGCATGGTATTTTTAAACTCTTTTTTTTGAGACAGAGTTTCTCTGTGTAACAGCCCTGGTTGTCCTGGAACTCACTTTTTAGACTAGGCTGACCTCAAACTCACAGAGATCCGCCTGGCTCTGCCTCCCAAGCTCTGAGATTAAAGGCATGCACCACCACTGCCCAGCTAAATATTTTATTTTGCTAAAAAAGCCGGGTGGGTGGTAGTGCATATGCACTTGGGAGACAGAAGTAGGCGGATCCCTGTGAGTTCAAGGCCTTCCTGGTCTACAGAATGAGTTCCAAGACAGCCAGGGCTGTTTTGCAGATGAACCTTGTCTCAAAAAAAAAAAAAAAAAAAAAAAAAAAAAGAAAAAACCAAAAAACCAAAACAAAAAAAGAAAGCAGATTAAGACAGGCAGCTCACAACTGCCTGTAACACCAACTCCAGGGAACCTGATCCTTTCCTAGACTCTGCAGTCACCTGCATTCACATGCATACGCACACACACACACATACACATAAAAATAAAATAAATATCTTAAAAAGAGAAGTTCAAGGTCATTTTCGGCTATGTAGCAAGTTTGAAGCCAACCTAAGCTATGTTGGTATTAAATATGGCGCTTTTACCGTGTGAAGGTCACAAGGCACAAGGCACGACAAAACCCAGTATCAGAGCTTTATTAGGAAGAGGCAGTGGGACAGAAGAGAACGTGGCCAGGCCTGTGGAAGGGACACGTGAGGAGGAGGGTGAGAAGGGGGAGGAGAGAGCAGAAGGGAGGGGAGGAATCTGTGACCGGCTTTTTTAAGGATTTCCCTGCACATTCGCATGTGGGCTTATGGAGCTCCACCATACATGCACTGATTGCACGACTGTGGGCTTATGGAGCTCCACCATACATGCACTGATTGCACGACTGTGGGCTTATGGAGCTCCACCATACATGCACTGATGGCATGACTGTGGGCTTATGGAGCTCCACCATACATGCACTGATTGCACGACTGTGGGCTTATGGAGCTCCACCATACATGCACTGATGGCATGACTGTGGGCTTATGGAGCTCCACCATACATGCACTGATTGCACGACTGTGCTGCATGAATTTGCGCAATCACGCGGCACACTGATGACGTAAGACATAAGACCCCTTGCTTAACTACTGAACTGTGAATTTGTGGCCATGTAGCTGGAGTGGCGGCAGAACCTTAACATTGCAGAATTTTTGCTTATTATAAAAAAGCAGGTGAATAGGAATAGGGGCGTCGTTTCTCCCCAAAAAACTGCTTCCAGCTGGCTTGGTGGGTGTTGGTTGACTCTTCTCAGGGGTAGGGAAGGGGGCTTCTGACATAGACAGGTGTCTTGGGATGGCGGGCTGTTGTCTGCTGCCTTGGAGCTGTCTTTCTTGGCTTGGCACGCTGGCTGCTTGTGTCTGAGAGAGTACTGGTGAGACAGACAAAAGCTTAGAAGAAAGGATTATTATTATTGTTTTTATTTTTTTCTTTGGGGGGTTCCCAGGATGAGAGAGGGGGGGTTCCAAGACCAGGAAAGTTTGGCTTGCACCGATCTGAAGCAGATCCAACCTGTCAAGATGGATTTAAGCTGTTTCCAGAGCTTGCTGACTTGTCCAGGTGGATTCTTTGGAGCTCAGAAAAATTTTGAACATATTAAGAAGCAGCCATTGAGAAAATTAAAGTCTTGGGCTGGTGACCATGACATGACATTGTACTGTTTAGTACTCTGCTTATATTGGTTAGTGTTAGTGAGAGAGAGGGAAAGAGAGATTGGAACATGTTTTTAATTTTTACCTGAGATAAGCTTTATCAGAGACAGATTATTTTAAGGCACCTGTTTCCAGTTTAGCATCCAGGAGACACAGGTGATCAATTATTGAGAGCCTTTAACAGTAATAGATTGTTATATTAAAGTCTGTTTTTGCAGAGCCCAGACACTTTTGGGTCTGGGGGTGTAAATACCTTTGGACTGTTACTGCTCCTTTACCACCTGGGTATACCTGATGGTCCTTGGACTCCAGCTCTATGGTGATCCTGTAACAATTAGCTGAGTAGTTAATTAGAAGAGAGAACCAGGAAGAGAAAAACTTGTGGGGTGAAACCTCATTCTTCTGGAATTGATGACAAGGCAGTGGATCCTGATGTCCTCTGGAACTTGAGAGAGAGCAGGGCCCTGTCTGTGTCAATGTGCATGAGGAGGAGACGCTTATTATTATTTAAAAACCAACATTGGTGCTGTGACAAAACAGGCTTTCCCAGTGCTCTGCGTCCAGAACCCTGTATGGAGGTTTCTTGGACCCATGACTGCCCGCTCTGCTTTTCCCATTTGCCCAGCCACTGGGACTGCGCCTCACAACACACCGGCTACATGAGACCTGGCTCAAAAATAAAAATAAGTAAAGGAAGGAAGGAAGGAAGGAAGGAAGGAAGGAAGGAAGGAAGGAAGGAAGGAAAGAAATAGGGCTGGTGAGACGGCTCAGTGCATCAAAGTGCTTACTGTGTGAACAGCTGGATGACTGAGCTCAGTCCTCGGAGCCATGTAAAGCTGTCCCCAGTGCTGCACAGCTGCAATCCCAGCACTGTTATCAGCGATGTGGCATCAGAGAGACAGGAGAATGGCCCAGATCACAGGCCAGCTAGCTGGGAGTACACAGTGCCGTAGAAACAGCAGTGAGAGAGACTGTTTCAGTAACGAGGGAGGAGAGCTGTCCTCTGACCTCCACACATCTGCTGTGGCATGTGCTCGCCTGCACTGACACACAGGATCATACACAGAAATCAACAGGTACAAGGCCCAAGATTCAGTCAGTTATTGATCAGTGGTAGAGTGTTTGCCCCGTAAATGTAAGGCCTTGGTTCCATCCCCAGCACACAGACAGACAGACAGACACACACACACAAAATATCGCATAAAAGGACAATCATTATTTCGAGGACAATCATTATTTTGAGACAACTAAAGTCAAAAATGATGGTAGGAGTCGGTAGTTACATCTGGAGAATGGAGAAAAACTTTTTTTCCATTTATTTGTCTTTCTGAGCTGTTTATTAAAAAGAAAAACAAAACAAAACAAACCATAAAACCCTAGTCTTCTATAACTTTAAGTTATTTAAAAATGTTTTATAAAGAACTGAATAAATGAAAGCGCTCTCTTTTTCGATGGCATGTTGTTTAGATGGCAATCTGAGTCTCGACTCCCGTGTGAAGTTAGGTCTGCAGGTTTCTTGTATCAGGAAGAAGCTGAATCAGGGGAGGGTCACATGACAATAAACATGCCTCAAGAATCATAACGTGCAGTGTAGGCCAGGCTGCATAAATTTGCCTTAACAATCACAGTAGCAGAGCCGATACCAGAGCAAATTCAGACACACCCAGACACAGGGCCCGGGGCCACGGGGTCAGAGGTAGCCATCTGCCAACTCTGTCCACTGGCTGAGATTACCCTTGGTGGTGCCTCACTCTGGGCAGGAATCCTACTCCTGCAAGAACCAGAATTGTCTGGCCACAGCTGCTCAGGCCTGCAGTGGACCATTTAGTTCCAAGAAGATGGGCTGCTGAGGGGACTGAGGTGAGTGACTTTAGTCACATTCTAGAGCTATCCATGAAGACAGGTGGGAGCCCCACACCCCCTCAGGACTCACAGGCTCCTTCCTCCTCTTCTCAAGGCCTGGCAGCCTCTTGACCTTTGCTTGTCTGAGGTTTACGTTTCTGTGGGCCTCAGCAGCTGCAGAAAGGAGGCTGGGATATGGTTGCCACTGGCTGGCAGAGGGAAGCCAGGAGACTCATTCCCGGCACTAAACAAAGCCCAATTGATCTTTGACCCCTGCCCCTCCCAAGAGCTTTGGCCCTCTTCCATCTCTTTTCTTCCTTGTGGGCCTCTCCCTGCATTCTCTGTCCCCTCACTTTCCTCTGTGCCCTGGCCTGCACTGGCAGTTTCCCCCAGCTCCTGGCCCAGTCCAGTCTGTCCATGCTGTCCTCAAGTCCTGCTTCCTGTACATCTCCCAACCCTGACAGAGACAACCCAGACAAGAAGGTCCACTGGGCTTCTGAGAAGAGAAGAAGAACATCATCCACAGACTCAGAATCAAAGACTCACTTGGACATTTCTAAGTTGCCCAGGTCCCGGAGACCCAGCCGGCTAACGGTGAAGTATGACCGAAGTCATCTGCAGCGCTGGCTGGAGATGGAGCAGTGGGTAGATGCTCAGGTCCAGGAGCTATTCCAGGTGGGTAGCTTGAGGTAGAGGCTGCCGGAGATTGTGGACCTGGGGTCAGGTCCTGAGATCCAGCGAGCTTTCTTAGAGACTTCCAGGGGAGCTGGGGGGCTGATGTGAGATGCTGTCATGGAGCATGCTTTCTTCAGATGGAAGAAAAGTCTTTAACCCCTTTGTGCTACAGAAAAGGCCTTTTAACACTGCCTGGACTCAGTTTCTGAGCTATACAACGGGCTATCCATGTCTGATCTGTCTCTCTGCTAAGACTCTGCGATTCAATTGACGGTTAAAGAGTAAATGCTTGGCCAGACTACTACACATCTTCTATACATCTATGCATAGAGCTACATTGTCCGGTACTGTCCCTATCAATACTGTGGCTACTAGCTTTAAATGAATTAAGATGAGATGAAATTTTAAATTTAGGTCCCAAGTCCCATAGATATGGTTGAGGTGCTGACTGTCTCATGTACCAGCACAGTTGTGGACCTGCTCCACTATCTCAGAACGGGCAATGCAGAACTAGACAGAACAGGCAGGGAAATCACTGGTGCCATGACCCCACTGGCTTTGACATGTGCCTCTGACTGCCTTCCTTCAGCCTCAGCCTGGGAAAGGATGGGTCTTGTCCTTGGTCACAGAAGGGAGTACTTTGACTTAGACCCCATCAACTCTGATCCCAGAGTGGTAGCAACTGATTCATCAAGAACAACATTTTGACCTCTTAACAGTTCTTAACCACAGTGCAAGCCCAGGCATGCATTATTTGATTTAACCCTCCCACCACTCCATCAGGTAGGTGCTGTCTTACAGCTGAGAGAAGAGACTTAGGGCTGGAGTGCTCAGCTGGTCGAGTGTGTGCATGAAGCCCTGGCTTTGACCCCTGGCATTGCGTTCATGGTTCATGGGGGCACATTCCTAGGGGAGGCAGAAGCCGGAGGGTCAAGAGTTCACAGGTATCCTCGGCTACCTAGTGAATTCAAGGCCACCTTGGATCCACAAGTGACTTGTTCAAAGTCATACAGCTAAGAAGCCATGGGACTAGAAGTACAGATTGACCCCCTGAGAGTTTGGGCATTGATTTGAACAGCCAGTGAGAATTTAAATCTATTAAAGTAGGTTCAAGCATTGAGCAGTTATAAGCCCCATGGTGGGTTCTAGGAGATTAACCCACAGGACCAGTGCTCTTTGTTCACAGGAGTGTTTGTTAGCCTGCCTGTCTCCCTCCCTCCCTTCACTTCCTCCCTCCCTCCCTCCCTCCTTTCCTTCCTCCCTTCCTCCTTACTCCGCTCCCTTCTTTGGGTCCTGTGTTAGGGCCTGTGATTCTTGCAAGCGAGGAGGCTGTCCTGCTATGGGAATAGGAAAGGATGGGCAGATGGGTCTGGTCAGTCTTAACTGTATCCTGTGGCCGGTTAGCACACATTTGCTCTCGTCTGCTGAAGCATCCTAAGCCTACTTGTAGAGGGTAGAGAGATGCCCCGAGCTGGGAGCTAGAGGGGAGGACTTTCTTGGTCCCTATGTGTTGTGGTTTTGCAGGGCACCTCCCGCCACCCCCACTTTACTGCTTCCGGCCCCTCCCCACTGGCTACAGTTCCATTTCCAAGGTTTCTTGTGCACGTGCATGAAAAGTCTCATATTTCAGACACCTCAGGGCAAGTCCTGCCGGGCAACAGAGAAAAGCAGCAGCTAGAGAACCTTGTTTTACAAGGTGAAGATGGAGGAGGGGAGAGTGCATAGTCATGTACCCATAATACTGGAAAACAAGGCCTGTGGGAGGACCGCTCCCAGGGAATGACTGGCATAAAATGCCTGGCCTGTAGTTTCCATGGCAATTGTCCAAAGGTGCCAGCAGGAAGCAGCTAAGTGCCTGGGAAGCTCCTGGTGGCTGGGCATCTTAGACAGAGGTCAAGGTAAGTCTGAACTTGCTCAGCTTCGGTTCTACCTTCGTAGTGCCCTCCACCTCCATGGCTCTGGCCTGCCTACCCTGTCCTGCTGCACCGTTGGGAATGGTTACAGGGATGTGCCACTTGTTTAGTTTGATGACACTCAGAGGACATCCTCAGAGGACCAGTGTTCCCTTGGGTGTGTAGCTTGGCCTGGGGTCTGTGGGGAACTAAGTCTGGGATGCACACAGTCTGGGGGCCCAGAAGCTTCTGTTCTCTAGAAGTAACCTGAGGATTTGGCTCCTAGGCAGGGACGTAATCGGCTGTACATTTAAGGAGATCCCTGTTTAACAACCGGCTCATACACTATTTCTACCCCTTAGGTCTTCACTTCACATCATGCTCCTTAAAGGATTTGTCCACACTCACTACTTTTACTGACTTTTCCCATTCTTACTGTGTAGCCTAAACTAGCCCCGAACTCTAGACTTCAGAGTAGCTGGCGTTACAGGCATGTGCCATCTTGCCCTGGCTCTTCCCCTGCCCTCTGAGGTTCTGATACACTCACTCACTCAGGCTGACTGATCTGCAGACCAGGCTAGATTCTACATCCCGCTCAGCATCCATCCCCTGGGTTGTCTTCTCTAGGCTTTTTTTTTTTTTTTTTCAGAATTAAATGTGGGGTTAATCCCATCCAATAAAGCTTTTACTTAAAATATTATCACTTCCAGATGCTCCACTTGACTCTTATTTTATTTTTAGTGTTTCGACACAGGATCTTATATGCAGCCGTGTTTGGTCTAGAATTCACTATGTAGCCCAGGCTGGCCTCAAACTTTCAGCAATCCTCCTGCTTCTGCTTCCTGAGTGCTGGGATTATAGACATATGCCACCGCACCCAACCATTTTATATGTTTTATAGCTCCTGAGTGCTGGATTACAGGTTTGTGTCCCCATGCCTGGTTTATGTGGTTCTTGGGGTTCAACTCAGAGCCTGTGCATACTGCCCAAGCATTCCACCACTTGAGCTACATTCCAGCCATCCTATGGCCAGTTTTTTACTTTACATTTTGAAACAGGCTTGCTAAATTCTCCAGACTGGCCTTGAACTCCTGATCCTCCTGCCTCAGCTCTTCTGAGTGCTAACATTTTTATTCTCTCCCCCCACCCCCGACAGAGTTTCTCTGTGTAGTTTTGGTGCCTGTCCTGGATCTCACTCTGTAGCCCAGGCTGGCCTCGAACTCACAGAGATCCGCCTGACTCTGCCTCCCGAGTGCTGGGATTAAAGGTGTGCGCCACTGCTGTCTGGAGCGCTAACATTTTAAAACATGTACCACATGCCTATGCTTAATTTGGATTTTATCTTCTATTTTTCTCATTTATTTTTCTCATTTCCCTATCTGGAAATTCCATCATATCTATCATTTCTGCAATCAGTGGTGTATGTATGTGAGTGAGTGAGTGAGTGAGTGAGTGTGTGTGTGTGTGTGTGTGTGTGTGTGTGTGTGTGTGTGTGTTAGTGGGAATCAAACCTAGGGCCTCTCACTTCCTATTCAAATTCTCCACCACTGAAGTTACACCTAACTTTAGGTGTAGACATTGGGTTCTGGGCATTGTGAATTGAATGTCAAGTAGCTAGATATGTTTTAAGATTTATTTTTTACTTTTAGTTGTGTCCATGTCTCTGTGTACTCTGTGTAGGTATATGCATAAAAATATTTGGTGCCCTCAGAGGCCAGGAGCATCAAATCCTCTAGAGTTAGAGTTACAGGCAGTTTTGAACTGCCCAATGTGGATGCTGGGGATTGAGTTTACCTCCTCTATAAGAGCACTATGTGCTCTTAACCTCTGAGTCATCGCCCCGGCTCAAGTAGCTGCATTTAAAAAAAAAAAAAAAATCTTTGTTCAAGTAGCGTTTGGTTTTATTCTGTTTGATGGTAAAGTTACTGGTGGGTCAGTTTGATCTGACACCTGTTTCTTTCTTTCTTTCTTTTTTTTTTTTTTTTTTTTTTCCGAGACAGGGTTTCTCTGCGTAGCTTTGCGCCTTTCCTGGAACTCACTTGGCAGCCCAGGCTGGCCTCGAACTCACAGAGATCCGCCTGGCTCTGCCTTCTGAGTGCTGGGATTAAAGGCGTGCGTCACACCGCCCGGCTCTGACACTTGTTTCTAAGCTTTGATGGGATTAGTGCAAAGTTGCCTTTAATCCAGGAAATCATTGGCCCTCCCAGAGTAGAGTGACCTTTTTGAGGTCTCTGTATGATCAACAATGACTGTTCAGCTCATTGCTCAGACTTGATTTGTGTCCAGTCCTGTGTTAGGCCTGAGAACTGCCCACCTCTGGGCCTTCAGCCGCTCACAGTTGGTTCTGAGTGTGCATCTTAGTGCTCAGCAGAGACTCAAGAGAGTCCCTTCTGCCAATCACCCTAGCTCTTTCTGCATAGCTGTCCTTACTCAGAAATTAGTGCAGTGACTTCTAGCTACCTCAGCCTTCTCCAGGTCTCATCTCTGTCACATGGCTTCAGGGACACCACTGTGCTTTGCTTGGATCCTCTGGGAAGAGATCTTGTTTCTTTTCTTTCTGGACTCACAGCCCTGAGTTCCTTATTGTGCAAATATCTGACTATATTGTTCAGGTTTTTTTCTTGTATTACGTTATATGTATGACTGTTTCTGTCTTGTGCCTGGAGAGGCCAGAAGAGGTTGTTGGATCCCTTGGAACTGAAGTTACAAACAGTTGTGAGCTGCCACGAGGGTGCTGGGAACTGAACCCAGGTCCTCTGGAAGAGCAGACAGTGCTCTTAACCACTGAGCCATCTCTCCAGCACATGCTCTGTTTTCTTGAGACAGCATCTCCTTCTGTAGCCCAGACTGGCCTGGAACTCATGATGTAGCTCAGGCTGGCTTCCTGTTTTAGCCCAAGTGTTGGGGTAACAGGTATGTACCACCATGCCTGACATTTAATTTTCTTCTTCTTCTTCTTCTTCTTCTTCTTCTTCTTCTTCTTCTTCTTCTTCTTCTTCTTATTATTATTATTATTATTATTATTAGTAGTAGTAGTAGTAGTAGTAGTAGTAGTAGTAGTAGTAGTAGTATTGTGGTGGTTTGAAAGCAAATGGCCCCCAAAGGCACTATTAGGAGTGTGGCTTCGTTGGAGTAGGCGTGGCCTTGTTGGAGGAAGTGTGTCACTGTGGGGGCGGGCTTTGAGGTCTCCTATGCTCAAGCCACTCCCAGTGTCACAGCCCACTTCCTGCTGCCTGCTGATCAAGATATAGCCAGCATCATGTCTGCCTGCACGCTGCCATGCTCCCCGCCATGATGATAATGGACTGAACCTCTGAACTGTAAGCCACCACCTCAATTAAATGTTTTTCTTTATAAGAGTTGCCATGGTCATGGTGTTTTTCACAGGAATAGAAACCCTAACCAAGACAATTGTGTGTGTGTGTGTGTGTGTGTGTGTGTGTGTGTGTGTGTGTGTGTGTGATTTGTGTCTGACTGTAGGCTCACACATGTCATCATGCACATGTAGAGATCAGAGCACAGCTCTCTGGGAGTTGGTTTTCTCCTTTCACTGTGAAGTCATCAGCCTTGGGTGGCAAGTGCCTTTATCTGCTGAGCCATCTCGTTGCCCCTCTCCCTCATGCCCGTAGACAGGGTCTCACTGTGTAGCACTGGCTAGCCTAGAATTCACTATGTAGACCAGACTGGTCTTGAACCCAGAAGGATAAGCCTGCCTCTGCCTTCTGAGTGCTGGGATCAAAGGTGTGTGCTACCAAGAATGACCAGGGCTTTTTTTTTTTTTTTTTAAGAAGAATTTTGCTGTGGAACCCTTGCTGCCCTTTACTTGCTATATAGCCCAGGCTAGCTTCAAGCTTCCACCAATTCTTCTGCCTTAGCTTCCCAAGTGCTGAGATTACAGGTGTGTGCTCTGACATTTGACTTTTGTTTGTACATTTTGTGCAATTTCCTAGTTACCTACATGATGAGAATCATCTAGTCCTGTCATCCCTGCCCCCCACCCAGCATAAGCATAAGGATTTGGTGAAGTTTGTTTTTTTATTTATTTACTTTGGAGACAGGGTCTCATTTCAGGCTTAGTAGCCAAGGATGACCTCCTGTCTCTACCTCCCGGGTGCTGGGATTACAAGTGTTCTGGGTTTATGCTGGTCCTGGGGACTGAACTGGAGCTTTGTGCATGCTAGGCAAGCCCTCTCCCGGCTGGTTTTTACTCTCTAGATCTTAGAGGATGCTTCTTTCCTTCCAGGACTCTCCCTGACCCCCGTCTTGGTGAGCATTCCTTCCCATGTACTCCTATGATCTCTCATCCAGGCATCTGTCTGTCACCATCTATTGTAACTGCTCTTTCACTTGTCTACTGGCTTTTCAAGGGCAAGATCATGTTGTCTGTCTGTCTTGCTGTTATGGCCCTAAGACTCATCGTCATCTTTGATCCACAGCATGCCTTTAATAAGTGGATATAAAGTGTGTGAGTGCTGAATGAGATGAGTTCTAGATGGAAGACATGAAGGGGGCAGGTCTAGAGCTTAGGGAAAAGGGGATAATTCGAGCAATACTGATTTGGAAAAAGTGCAGACGTCCCCAAGTGTTAGCAGTGTCACCTGTTAGTGAGAGGAGGGAGGTAGATGAGGCCCCAAGTGTTAGCAGTGTCACCTTAGTGAGGAGGAGGGAGGTAGATGAGGGTTCCTTTCCGTTTTACTACTTCATTTACCTGTTTTATTTATTTGTAATTTACAATGCCAACTTTAATGAGTATAAATTGACATAGAGTAAAATGTGCCCTTTTGCAGTGTGCATAAAAATACAGAGAGTGCATTTTTCCCTTTATAAAATGTCCCACCACCAAGGTAAGAAATATTTCCATCACCCAAGAAGTTCCCCAAATAACATTTACCTTTAACCAAATTATGTAATTATGTAGTTTAATTGCTATCATTTTTTACGTATTTTATTTAACATAACTTAAATAGTGTAATTGAATTGCTATTGTGTCTGGCCTTGTTGCTCCTGTTGTTACCAGTTTCTCTTCTGTTTTGAGACATGGTCTTGCTATGTAGCCCTGGTGGGTCTGGTCCTCTCTATATAATCCAGGCCGACCTCGTACTCACAGCAGCCCCGTCTCAGCTTTGTAAGTGCTAGGATTACACTGGTGTGCCGTCATCTGGCCTCATATCTGTTTATGCTATGACTCATTAACTGCCGATAATATGGAGGCTGTGTGAAGGCAAGATCTTTGTTCCCTGAGGTCCCCAAGCTCACAGTGTCAAGTTCACAGCAGCTGTTAGACTCATGCTTGTGGAAAGGCAGATTCCTAATGATTAAATAGTCAAATGGACAAACAGAAATTTTGAAACCACTAAAGAAAAGTACAGACGGGGCCAGTGAGGTGGGTCAGTGGTAAAGGTGCTCGCTACACAAGACTGGCTACCTGAGCTGAATCCCTGGAAGCCATGGTAGAAGGAGAGAACCAAGTCCACAAGCTGTCCTCTGACCCACATCATGTGTTCCTGCATACACACACACACACACACACACACACACACACACTTTTTTAACGATGATTATAAAATACCCAGCTAGGTATGGTGGCACACACCTCTAATCCCAGTACTCAGGAGACTGAGACAGAAGGACAGCAAATTAGGGGCCATCTTGGGCTATCAAGGACTCCTCGAACTCACAGAGATCTGCCTGCCTCTGCCTCCTGAGTGCTGGGATTAAAGGTGTGCACCACTACCACCCGGCCCTTTTGTTGATTTTTGAGACAGCTTCTCACTATACAGCTGTAGTTGGTCTGGAACTAGCTATGTAGACCACGTTGGCCTTGAACTCTCAGGGATCTGCTTGTCTCTGCCTTCTGAGTGCTGGGATTAATGGGCTGAGCCACCACACTGGGCATTTCCCCCTAAAAGACAGGGTCTTTCATTGGCCTGAAACTCACAAGTAAGCTAAGCTGGCCAGAGGCAAGCCTCATAGATCTACCTGTCTCTACCTTTCCAGGGCTGGGATTACAAGCACTCACTGCCATGCCCCATGCCTGTTTTAATTTGTACATAACATCTATTTATTTGTATGTAGCCACACATCTGAGGTGCACATTTAGAGATCATAGGACAACAACTTGTGGGAGTTAGTTCTCTGCCTCCACTGTGCCAGTCCCGAGAATCAAACCTGGGTCCTCTGAAGAGCAGCCAGTGTCCTCATCTGCTGAACCATCTCCCCAGAGCCGTTCTCCCTCCCTTCTGAGACAAGGTCTCCCTCTGAAGTCTAGGTTGCTCTGGAACTCATGATCTGCTTTCCCCCGCCTCCATACTGACATTGCAGGCACAGGGGAAGTCACTCTTCCTGAGTAACTCTTACCGCTTTTGTGTAGAACATCGTAGGTGCTGAGGAAAGCTTATTGGACAGAATAATCAATGGGCCTTTTGAGTACGCCAAGGAGGGGATCACTGTGGAAGACCACAGATGAAGGTAGACATGGGCAAGTCCTTGACAGTAACTGCTGTTCTAGCACCAGGTGGTCAGATCTCTCTGTTACTCTGAACTAGGGTCAAGAAGCTCCTTCTGAGCCCGAGATTGATCTGGAAGCTCTCATGGAACTATCCACAGAGGAGCAGAGGACTCAGTTGGAGGTAGGATGGGAGCCTGGGGCCTGCTTCCCTGGGTGTCATGAACCGACTTCCAGCAGCACCCTAACCAACCGAGCTAACTGCCAGCTGCAGAGAACCAAGTTACAGGGGAGGGATCTTGGGAGGCTGATGGGCACTTGTGGGGAAGTCGTATGTCTCAGCTCACCTGGCTCTCTTTCACCCAGGCCATTCTCCAAGACTGCCCCTGTGACAGAGAGGTAAGACATATTCTGCTTCGGCAGTGGGAGGAGGCCTACTGGGGCGGCTAGGATAAGAGGAGCATCTGAAAGGAAAGCTTGGCCCTTGCTAACTCTTTTCTTGCTCTGGGGGACATTCGAAGATGGATTAGGGAGGGCAGCTGTGAGTTCCCGCTTCATCTTACTGCTCTTTCTCCCTCAGCCTTTTATCTCTGAGCTGCTCAGTCAACTCAAGAAACTTCGGAGACTCAGCAGGCCTTCGAAATAATACTGGAGAGACCATCTGTAGCCTACAGAACTTCTGTAGCCTCAGCCCTGACCTGGATGCTGGCTGAAAGGTCTTCAATACAGACAAGGGATGCAGAAGACAAGGAGAGACACTTGTGCAGCTCAAGTGTGTGTGCAGCTACTGCTGGGCTCTCTCTGCTGGGCTCTCTGCAAGTCACTTGTGGCTGTTGCCTAATGCTTTCCTTGGCAGCCAGGATAAAAACTTTAGGAGACCAGCTAAGTGTGTGGCGTGTGGTGTGTATCTATGCTGGGGGAAGGGAGAGGGGAAGTGATATCTTGGAAGACCAGCATCCTAAGTCCCTTGGCTGTGCCCGCATCATCTATCCATCCATCTACCACTCTCACCCCACCCCCAATGCCAACAGGTGTTGGGAATTCAAAGATGGAGATCACAGCCTGGCTTTGAAGAGATTGGGATAGAGAGGCCCAGAGGCCATGTGCATAAAGCACACAGCCCCTGGCATCACCAACAAGAGGGGCCCAACTGGTAAAGATAAGTTTTGAATTTCACCGAGGAGGCAACAGGAAGTGCCTCACTGGATCTGGAGCATTCAAGGAGGTTGAGCCCTCCTCCACTCACAGTGTAGCAGGGATCTCTAGCTGGTACTCCAATCTTGGTCACCCATATCAGTCTCTGCCCTTAGTGAACGTGGAAAAGGACAAAAGCAGAGGATATGTAGAGTGAAAGGGAGTGCCAGAGGTTGCGCAAAGTTGTTGGAAGACAGATATGGGATCTCTAAGGAAGGCAAGATGGGACAGGAGCCAGGAGGTAGGTCCTTTGTGATCAAGGCAGGAAGCAGGGCATGTATATATATAGTGTTCCTACATTCATTATTTAAGTACTAGAGAGACAGATATCCAACATGGAAAGGTCTTATGGCTAAGCTGAGCTGTCCTGAGTAGAAGGCACAATTCACTAAGATGAATATTCATACTTACTTGGTATGAGACCACCAGGATGGTGGAACTGTCCTTGCTGGGAGCTTACACTTTTTCATGAATTCCACAGGAATCTGCTTCTAGCCTACTGTGTTATTAGCACCTCTCACAGGCCTCAGGCTCAGGAGCCACAAGATTCTGGATATAGATGGTGTTGGGTGCCTGGAGGTACAGGTCAGTGGAAGAGCATACGTGTAGCATGTATGAGGTGTGGGTTCCATCCCCAGTACTACCAGAAACAAATTCACAAATAAAAAGAGTCTGGAGCTAGGGCTGTAGCTCAGTGGTAGAGTCCTTGTCTAGCATGTGCAAGACCGTGGGTTCAATCCCCAGTACAGACAAACGAATCTGGGGCCAATGATTGAACAACTTATTTTTATTAGATCCACTATAGGCCAGGGCTGGGCCCTGGAACCAGGTTTCCGGGCTCCTCCTTAGGTTCAGTCTGCTCTTCTCCATCTGCCTCTCAGTTTCAGACCAGCCTCTAGGAAGAAGGCCTTTACTTCTCTTTTCCTCTGGCTCCTCTAAGAGTCATTATCTTCAATGGACTTTTTCTTCCTTACAAGGACTGTGAAGCTCAAAAGAGATGTGTTTACCATCAGTAGAGCCAGATCTGCTCTCCCAATGGATGCCGAGACTGGGCCCAGGTGGCCATGCCAGTCCACTGGCTGCCTGTGGCAATGCCACCTCAGGAGGTCATCAGGGTTTTTCCTCAGTGTTCTCGGCCAGCAGTTCGGGGGTGGTATGCAGAAGTCTGATGCTCTTTAAGATCAAAGTTATCGTGGCCCTCCCTGGGGAGCAAAGGGGTGAATGGCAGAGATCTTGGCATCCCTCAAGCCAAGATCAGTCTACCCTTAGAACGTTCTACCCGTACCCACCGGAAGCAGCGGGCACAGTAGAGGTCTCCATCGCAGCCAGCACAGCGCAGGGCAGCATCCTCATTGCAGATACAGCACCAGGGGAGCTCTTCTTCCTCAGCCTGGGGCCCAGGAAGCCGAGACTGGGTCTTCAGGAAGAGAGAGGAATGGGGGAAGTCAAGTACAGATGAGCAGTGAGCCAGGTGCAAGGCTGTGGGCTGTGTGGAGATGCCTGTGTGGGGCTTTTCTCACCTCAGTCTCTGCCCTGCTGGGTTGGGCCCGGGGTCGGGGAGCTGCTTCCACAGGGATGTTAAAGCCACTTGCCTCATCCAGGGCAGCTTCTTCAGTGAGCTGTGAAGAGAGAGGAAGAGAACTACTTCCTGCTCTAAGCCCAGGCTCCCCTCCCAGCATTTCTGGCCTAACTTCTCAGCTCTTCACCCTTTACCTCCTGCTGTACCTTCCTGGTTTCTTGAGATAGGAAATAGAGAGCCCAACTAAAATTGGAGCTGTGGAATGTCCACTCACGTGGCCCTAGAGGCCAGTGAGTAAGAGCAGACAGCTGGCACAACAGTGAGGCAGAGGCAGAGCAGGGCAACGGGGTGGGTAACAAGGCTACCTGCTTCAGGACTCTCTGGATGGCCGTCTCTTCCTCCTCCTCCTCCTCACTGTCTGGCAGGTGATAGTCCTGGAGGGTCACTTGAATGAGGGGGCAGGAACAGAGGAAGGAGTGAGGGGAGAGAGTTCACCAGATGGCTGCCCCCCTGTCTTCTAGAACTGTTGCTTCCCTGGGGGCACCTATTTCACAGCTGAGAATCAAGCTGCTTCCCTACCCCAGCCACCAGCCCTGAGCACAGAGGGCAGTAGAGAAGCATTAGCACCTCAAGAGACTGAAGGTCCCACTGCCTCTTATAGCTGCCTCAGAGTCCTCATTCCCTGCTCTGCCCTGTCATATCTCATGGCTCTGCACAGGACACGACAGATCCTTTGGCACAGGGACCCTTAGTACCTGCGTTAGCACTGGCAGGGAGAGTGTAGTTTGGGGTGGCAGCAGGCCTCGGCCAGGGGCCGGAATAAGGAGGCTGGCTTGAGCCTTTACCTCTGTCGGGGTCCTGTCCCTGAAGTACAGCCAATCTTTTGGCAAGAGCCAGGAACCGTTCCTGCCTCGTGTTCTCCTCCCGTAGCTCAACTGCCGCCTCAGCCAGCAACCTGCTCTTCTCCTTCTCCAGGGATGGGCTGGCCTGCCCCTGGGAATCTGTGTGCTGGTTCCTTGTACCTCCCTTGTTGAGGTCATTCTGGAGGGAGGCCACTGGAAGGGGTAAGACAGTTAGGAAGGCAGAAGAATTCCAGAACCCATTTCTCAACAATTTTTTAACATTATCAATTTTTTGCTCAGTACTAGGCTTATATTATAAACAAAATTACTATTTCTTCCATTTTTCCAAATATAAAGTAATTTTGGGTTTTTTTGTTATTGTGATCTTTTTTAATTAAAGATAGGGGTTTGCTATAGAGTCCAGGCTGGACTGGAACTCTCGATCTTCTTGCCTCTGCATCACATTTCCTAGGATTACAAGTGTGTACCATCATGCCTGGCAAAACCAGTAATGTTAGTTGTGTCTTTTTCAAATGCATCAACCCCCACCCACCTGGTTAATACAGGGTGGCTATCCTAGGGTTTGAGAATCAAGGCTCAGATATGGGAGGCTAAGGTTTAGCTAGTCTGTGTCTTTCAGGGCTGGAATTAACATTTTCTGGGAGCAACAGTGAGAGGTCCTGAAGGAAGCAGCAGTCTTAGATAATGGGCAAGAAGAAATCTGACCAGAGTGGACGTGGTTCTGACATGGTCACCTTTAGTTTAGAGTTTCAGAGCAGGAGCTTTAAAACCAAGTCGGCCATGACAGCGCACTCCTGTAAGGACTTCCTGTAATCAGGAAGATCAGGAGTTCATAGTCATCCAAGTTTGAGGCCAGCTATACGAGGGCTACATGAGGCCCTGTCTCATAAAATAAAACAAACAGAAGCAAAAATAGCCGGGTGGTGGCGCACGCCTTTAATCCCAGCACTTGGGAGGCAGAGGCAGGCGGATCTCTGTGAGTTCGAGGCCAGCCTGGACTACAGAGCAAGATCCAGGAAAGGCGCAAAGCTACACAGAGAAACCCTGTCTTGAAAAACCAAAAAAAAAAAAAAAAAAGCAAAACCAGCTTTACGTAGAAGGCTCATCCCTGCCAGTTAAGGGCTGTGTGCCCGTGACTAAGCTTACCAAGTCTGTTTCTTCCGTTATACATAAGAACAGTCCTCCGTCAGATCAGTGAGGGCACCCACTGAAACTGTGTCTACAATGCAGTGTATGAGTCTCAGTTCTTGGGACACATTTAAGGGGACAATTCCCTTTTAGGGGTGGGGAGCAGACAACTGCACATGCCCAGTGGCATCCCTGCCTTCCACCTACCAGATGCCAGTAGCACCTGTGAACTGTGATAACAAAAATGTCTTCAAACATTTCCAAAAGTGCCCTCGAGGTAAAAATCATCCCGAGTTGGAATACTGCTCTGGAGCCTCCATATACCACTGTCCAAGAATCCCCTGTGATGTTGGGAACACTCCATAGCATGCCCCAGGTTCATGCTGTCTGTGATGTCTGCCGCAAGCGCACGTGGGTAGCCAGTGATTGAAATGTGGCTGGCAGTAGGAGGCAACTGGAACTTAACTCTTTTCATGTAAGCCTCTTACCCATTACCGGGGTCTTCACTGCAGACAATACTGAGTACTTAGTAGGAGCCAGGCACTGACTGTGTTATTCCATTTACTCCCCATGACTTCTACCACCTTCTACCGGACAGGTTTTATCCCACGGCTTGAGTCTACAGATTAGATTTAGACGGGTGAGGGAACTCATGTAAGGTGGTGGAATTGGGATTCGCCATCTAACTGTAGAGCCGGTGCAAGAGGCTTACACTGGCTCCCCTTGGAGCAAGCACTCGGTACACAGAAGCTCTTTAGTGCTGGCCATTCTCTGACTCATATTCACCTCCCAAGAGGGTGGGCAGGAGAGGCAGGGCATGACTTTGCAGAAGCCAAGTGGACAGGTTACCTGGGCCTCTTCGTTCCCAGCTTTCATCAATAGCCACCTCAGCTGCCAGCTGTGTGAGCAGATCCTGCGTCTGCTGAGCCTGGGTCCTGGTGTCTGGTGCCTGGTGTGCCTGTGCAGAGGAGGGAACCTCAGTGGGGAATAGGAGTGTGGGGAAGGCCACACCAGAAGTCCAGAAGTCTGAGTCGGGGCTGGTTGCTGAAGAGTTTTCAAAAGCCCATGGGAAGGGATGAATTCAAGGTCCACATAGGTGAGTAGGTCTGGCAGCTCCCAACAGGACTGAGTATCCACTCTCTGCTGATGCACTCAGTCCTGCTGCTGGGCACTTGTTCTTTGGCTTGAAAGCAGGCCTAAGGCTCAGGAGGTAGGGGTGGGAGGCCTTACTAACTCCTGCAAAGCACATCATCGATCATACATGTATCTGGGCTTCTGTAGGGTGCTTGCCCTAGGAAACCCTTCTCCCCACGCCACGACGCTCACCGGTCTCACGGCGTGAGAAGGTAGCACTCTGCCCTGTAATGCTGCAAGCCGGTTCTCCATCTCCTCTGTGGAAGGGATGGAGCCCTGGACTTCACCCTTCAGTGCGGCTAGTCTCGCCTCTATCTCCGCTTGTGAGGGCACCGACTCTGCAATTGGCAAGCAGAGGGTTTGCAAGGGTCAGAGGCAGCGCAGTCCCAAGGCCTGCACTGTGCCTTTGAGGTCCCCCTGCCCACTTCAACTCACTGGGCTTGTTTTCCTGCCGGAGCCGCGCTAGGCGCTCAGCGATGGCTTGGTCTTGTGGAGTCAGGCCCTGGCTCTGGAGGGTGCTGGGCTTTTTCTTGGCTTCCAAGGCTGCCACACGCCTGGCAGGACATGAGGTAGAGACTCTTACGGCAAAGGGGAAGACTGAAGGCACCCATCCAAATCAACTGGGGCCTCTCGAGGCAATCGTCTATGGCCTCTATTTATGTGGTACTGCAGCCCCGCCCAGCTGACCAGCTGTAGGTCCGCCTGAGAGGGAAGAACTCCCAAATGCCTTTTCTGAGAACAGATTAATGAGCTGCTTTCAGAATCTAAGAGGGGAGCCAGGAGCCTGGAGGTGGGCATTCTCTTTATCCTGCACCCAGGTGATCTGGGGACCGGAGGGTCCCGCCGCTGGGGTCCTTGTCCCTTGCCGTCCCCACTTGCCCTCCTTTCAACACTTACTTCTTGTAGTTCTGAGGTGGCGACCACTTGGAGGTATTGTCAGAAGATCCTCTAGAGAGGAAATGTGGGGTGAGAAGTCCCATCATCCCACCCATCAGTGATTTCTACCCCAAAGACTTCCTAGGCAGACCTCTGGCCAGGGATCACAAGGCCACAAGGCCTGCTCAGATGCTTACTGTCATGTCTGTCTGAACCCTTGGTCACGCCCTTCTCTCACCTGGTCAGGACGGCGTGGCACTGCTTGCAGACTTTCTGTTGAGTGTTGCCAGCCCGAGGTACCAGAGCGTTGAAGCTAAGACAGCCATTACAGAAGGCCCGACCACAGTTCTTACAGCCGTACTATGAGAAACACAAAGCAGGAGGATCCATCTCTCACCCACCCCTATTGGCTCTTCTCTGGGACTCTCTAAGTAAGCACTCACAGAAAGAAGAAACTGAAGTTGTGACCAGATGTTGGAGGAAGGAAGAGGAGTGGGATCCCTAGGGTCCAGGGAGAGATAGGGGTAGAGGGCACAGCAATTCCTTGGCTTTCAGGGTCTTGTTCAAGTCAGATAAAATTTCAGGCAAAACTCACATGCTTTCTACCATTTTCAATGTCTTACCATGGGGGTGAACAATGAAGACAAACAGAGCCCTGGGAGTCAGGTCACTGGCTAGTCAACAAAAGAGAATCAGACCCAGTGCAGATGCTATGCTTTCTCTGCTCTGGCAAGATGGTGGGGGGATTGGCTCAGGAAAGGGTGGTAACAATAGCTTCAGTTATTAAGTACTTAGTGTGTACCAGGCACACAGCTTGGACCTTAAAATCCATCATCTGACCTAACGGTCATAATTTACACACATTATCATATTTGATCCTGATGCCCACCATTAGTATCTCTATTTTAACAGGGGCCAGAGAAATTACATGACTTGTTCAATTTAGGTCTTTCCGTGCATAAGACAGGGCAGCTGAAATTTGAACCCTGACTCTGAAATTCACGCTCCTGAAGTGCTCTAGTCCTGCATATCATGAATTCATCCCACTTATTTCCAACTGTCTCCCCAGAAGCTTACAAGGAAGACCTGGTAAATCTGTGTTGAGAACAAGAAGGCCTTTCCATTGCGCCCTGGGAGAAAGGAAATATTGTAATCTAACCTGGATAAAGGCAGGCTGCCTATGAGGCAGGTTTCAGAACAGAGAGTAACGGGCACCGTGTGATACACAGCGATCATAGGACATTAAAAGACCGAGATGGAGAAAAGCAGAGAATGGAGAAGCAGGAGGCAGATGCTCCACTTGGTGGTAAAAAAGAAAAAAAGAAAGTGTAGCTTTTGGAACCTGGCAGTAATACACTATCATTTACAGAGTGCTTTCAGCTCCAGCACCTCACCAAACCCCCTTAAAAATTTTATTTTAATTGCATTATTTCTTTGTGAGTGTGTGTGTGGACATGTGCATGCCATGGCACGTGTGTGGAGATCAGGGAATAACTTGCGGGAGTTCTCTCCTTCCTGGGGTTCGAACTGAGGTCATCCAGGCTCAGCGGCAAGTGCGTTTACCCGCAGAGCCATCTCAGTGGATCTCATCATACCATCATCTTAACCCAGAAAGCGAGTGGGCATTCGCCCCACTTTACAGAAATGTTAACGGAGTTACTTCGTCAAAACCACACCACTAGAAAGAAGCCGGCAAACTGGGTCTCTGGCCTGCAAGTCCCGTGCTCTTCCCTTCGCCCCGCGTCCTCCCTTGACCCTCCATCTCTCGAGGAGAACACTCGCCTCCTTCTTGAAGAGGGTGAACTTGACAGCACAGCCGTAGCACCTGCTCTCCATGGCGACTCGGCGCCACAGATCCGAAGGATAGCCTCTCACCAGCGCAGTGCAGGCCGCTCAGACCCTCAAGTCTATGCAACCCAGCTCTACACGCCCACCTGCGCCGTCCAGCCGCCGCCCTGCGCGGGGGAATTCTGACTCCGCTCACCACCCCGCGGGCGGTCGCGGAGTGTGGGTTGCTGGGAGTCGTAGTTCATTTTCCGCGGCGCGCTCCTCCATAGTCAGTCAAACCTCAACCGGATCGCGCCGATTCCCAGGGGGCTTAGCGCCGTTGGGCCGGCTCCAAGCCAGTACCCCTCCCTGTGCGCGCTCAGACTCCTGGGAATTGTAGTACCCATTCGGTCGGGGCTGGAACCATGGCGGTGACTAAAGAGCTCTTACAAATGGATCTGTACGCGCTGCTTGGCGTTGAGGAGAAGGCGGCAGACAAAGAGGTGAGAACCTGAGCGGCATGGCAGCTCTTCGGTCCTCGCGCCTGGTCCGGGCTGTCTAGGCTCCGCCCTGTACTGGACCGGCAGCGAGTACCAGCTTAATGTCTAAAAAGGGGGTCCTCCGGGCATTTCCTGACAGGCTTAAGGACCTCGTTAGGGAGGGAGGCACTGAGGACTTAGAACTGTGTGACTGCGCCACAGTGTGTGGAGGCCACTTCGAATCTGAGAGCCAGGCCTGCTTTTCTGCGCCTGCGCAGCCCCTGTTGCACGCTGTTTTACCTGTGTGTGGAGGTGTTTCGTTTCAGTTTCTAAACTAGCTGCTTTAACTTCAGGTTGACCCTGGGAGGGAAGAAAAGTCAGCTGTCTAGGCTTTTCACCCCCTCCTCCCCTGGATTTGGCGTTGAGACCTAGGACCCAGAGAGCACGGTTTTCTTTTCCGCTTTTTAAAAATATCAGATGCTCAGTGTTGTTCTCAGCGTGTGCTATTTAGCGGGTTAAACAAGAGGATCGGAAGGCTAAAGCCGGCGGTGCCGGAGTTCACTGATTTTCAGTGCTGGTCAAGGTGCCCAGGGTGAGACAGATCAAGATGGACCTGAGGTTCCTGTTACTTACTCCTGGATTGTGTTGGTAATTCTAACAGGATAGGCAGAGGAGTTCACCGGGCTGGGCATGGTGGTGCGAACCTTGGGAACTGGAGAGAGGAGAATCAGGAGTTGAAGGCCAACTTCAGCTTGTAGAGTTCAAGCGCAGCTGGGTTTACCTGAGATCCTGTCTTAAAAAAAAAAAAAAGAGGGAAGAGAGAAGGAAGGAAGGTCATCTTTGACTATAATGTTTGTTTTTTTGTTTTTTGGTTTTTCGAGACAGGGTTTTTCTGTGTAGCTTTGCGCCTTTCCTGGGACTCACTTGGTAGCCCAGGCTGGCCTCGAACTCACAGATCTCCGCCTGGCTCTGCCTCCCGAGTGCTGGGATTAAAGGCGTGCGCCACCACCGCCCGGCAACTATAATGTTTAAGGAGTTTCAAGCCAACCTGGACTCCAGAGACCATGTTTAAGAAACAAAACAAGCCGGGCGGTGGTGACACATTCCTTTAATCTCAGCACTCGGGAGGCAGAGCCAGGCGAATCTCTGTGATTTCGAGGGCAGCTTGGTCTACAGAGCGAGATCCAGGAAAGGCACCAAAACTACACAGAGAAACTCTGTCTCAAAAAAAAAAGAAGAAAAAAGAAAAACAAGCAAACAAAAACCACAAAACAAAACAAAGAGCGGAGAGAGGTTCCTTAGTGACAGAATTGTGTGGAGGACCAAAAGCTAGGTCCCCTGATTCATAGCTCAGGTCCATGCCCCTTTCATCTCGTTTTCCTGTACAGGTAATAATCCTGAGGAACACCAGCACTCCATTTTACTTCATTTAGTTTTTTTCTCTGAATTACAAAAATATGAATCCACTTGTCTATTTCCAACATCTATCTTCCAACATCCAAAATTGAACTTAACTTTTCTGCCCAAACCTGTTCCCTCCTTGGAATCCTCTATCTTTATAAATGCCACCGCCATCTGTCTACTCAAGTAGGATATTTATTTTTTTATTCTTTTACATTGCTGAGGATTAAACCTAGATTCTCTTACCTGTTAGGTGATGCTGTACCACTGAGCTATGCTCCGGCCCATCCATTCTGAGTTACTCTTGATACCTCCTGACCTGACTCTCTCCCCACTGCCCTCTTGTCCATCACTGGGTCCTAATGATCTAGCCTTCCAATGATTCTCACACTTGTTCACCATCTCTGCCTCCTCCACCGTCTGTCTAGCCCACTTCTCTGTTGCCGGTCTGTTCTACTGTAATCTGTCATGCCTCTCCAATCCATTCTCCTCACAGAAAATTAAATGATCCTAGTACTTCCTTAAAACCCTATAGGGACAGGACTGTAATCCCAGGCTAAGGGGATTTGCAGTTCAAGGCCAGGCTGGGCTACATAGGGAGACTTTGTCTCAGTAACAATAATAAAGCAATCACAGAACAGTCAATACAATTCATCACACACATCAGTGATGTTTTTTCTTCCCTTCTGTCCTTCTGTTAGTTCATTTTTGTTTGTTTGTTTTTTGGAGATAGGGTTTCTCTACACAGCCCCGGCTGTCTCAGGACTCACTATATAGACCAGGCCAGCCTTGAAGTCCACAGAGATCCACCTGCCTCTGCCTCCTGAGTGCTAGATTAAAGGCGTGCGCCACCACATCAGGTTGTTAATCCACCTTGCTTTTACTTATCCTTCAGAACTCAGTTTAGGGTTGAGAGAGAGTCTTTGCCTAGTGTGCATGAAGCCCTGGATTTAGTCCTCAGCACCACATAAACTAGGTGTTGTGGTATATATCTGTAATCTCCACATTTGGGAGGTGGAGGCAGGAAGATCAGAAGTTCAGTGTCATCCTTGGCTGTATAGCTAGTTTGAGACTAGTCTGGGTCAGAAACTGCCTTAGTTTGCTTTCTATTATTTTGAAATCCATCATGGCTGGCCAAAAGCAATCTGGGGAGGAAAGGGCTTATTTTATCTTAGTCTTCCAGGTAACATTGCATTGCTAAGGGAAATGAGGGCAGGAACTGAAGCAGAGATCATAGGAACGTCGCTTATTGGCTTACTCCTGCTGGCTTGCTCAGTTGGCTTTATTATACAACCCAAGATCACCTGCCTAGGGATGGCACCTCCCACAGTGGGCTGGGCCCTCCCACATCAATCGTCAATCAAGAAAATGACCATCAGGCTTGCCTACAGGGCAGCATAATGGAGGCATTTTCTCAGTGGAGGTTCCCTCTTCTCAGCTATCTCTAGCTTTTTTCAGGTTGACAAAAAAAACCTAACCAATACAGAGACACCATCTTAAAACAAATAAAAACAACAGGAATGGAGAAATGGCTCAGTGGTTAAGAAGGCGTTTGTAATTGGAGTTTTCCCGTCCTGATGCCCCACTCCCTGTCCTGGTAGCTGCTTCCCAATTACCACACAGAGATTTTATATTATTTGTAAATACTCGGCCAATAGCTCAGGCTTATTGCTAACTAGCTCTTACATTTTAAGTTAACTCATACTCCTTATTTATACTCTGCCACATGGTGGTACCATTATTAGCACGACACATTATCTCCTGCTCCCTCTTCGTCTTCCTGTTGACTCCTGACTCTGCCCTTCTTCCTCCCAGCATTCTTCTAGTCTGGCTCTCCTGCATAACCTTAACCTGGCTGTTGGCCAGTCAGCTTGTTTATTAAACCAATCACAGCAACAAATCTTCACGGTGTACAAAGGGATTATTCCACAGCAGCATATACTGCTCTTCCAGAGAGTATCAATGTTTGGAGGATCTATAGCCAATAGCCTCTGCAGACATCTGCATTCCTGTACATGCATACACCCATGTACACACACACACACACACACACACACACACACACACACACACACACATATATATAAAAGAACCCAACTCAGTTTAATTGGTTAAGAGGTTTTGCCTATTATGCCTCAACCCCCATGCTGGATATGAACCCAGGACCTTGCTAGGCAAGTGTTCTACTGGGCTACATCCCAGGCTTTGCATCTCTTTCATAGCAACTGGCTCCCCTCCTTTCCAGCAGTTAGTATTCATTTCTGTCATTATTGCCTCATGCCTTAATCCTTTCTCTGCATCTACCTCTGAGAAGCAGATCTGGTTGATCAGCTCACTTCAGCAGTAGTCATCAGCTGGGCAGTGGTGGTGCATACCTTGAATCCAAGCGCTTGGGAGGCAGAGGCAGGCAGACCTGAATTCAAGGCCAGCCTGGTCTACTGGTCCACAGAGCAAGTTCTAGGATAGCCAAAACTACACAAATAAATTTTGCCTCAAAACAAAAAAAATAAAAATAAAAATAAAAAACCTACACAACTTTAGCCATTCCTAACGTGTTCTCTGCCTCCTGCTTGTAGCTCTCAGTGTGAGCTCTCAGCTTGTGTTCCAGCTGCCATACATGCCTGCCGCCATGCACGCCTGCTGCCATGCTGCCACCCGTGATGGTGTCGGACTCTCATCCCTCTGGAACCATAAACCCAATCAACCCTTGCTTCTCTAAGTTGCCTTAGTCAGGGTGCTTTATCAGGTTCTCATGGAGCCAAGGCTGTTCTTGTTTGTTTGATTGATTGATTGATTGATTTTGGTTTTCAAGACAGTCCTGGCTGTCCTGGAACTCAGTTTGTAGACCAGGCTGACCTTGAACTCACGGAGATCCATTTGCCTCTGCCTCCTGAGTGCTGGGACTAAAGGTGTGCGCCACCACTACCCAGCTCCCAAGGCTGTTCTTGAACTCCTGATCTTCCTTCCACCTCCCAGGTACTGGGATTCCAGGTGTATGCCTAGCTTCTGTTTATGTTTTAAGTTGTGGTAAACATGTATAACATAACATAAAATCGAGCATTTTTCCCTTTTGAATAGAATTTTCAGTGGTATTAAGAACATTCACATTGCTGGACCACTATCACTACCATTCCGTCGGCAGAACTTCTCCATCATCCCAAATCAAACCTTGTACCAAATAAATATAACTCCCATGTTCTCCTCCCCAACCCGTGAGATCCTAGCTGCTGTCCTCCTTTCCTTTGTGACTGATTCTGTGCACCTCCAGTAACCTCTGTCATTTTATTTGTGGCTTATTTCATGTAGTATAGTGTCTCCAGGAGTAAACGTGTAGCTTGTGTCAGAATCTCCTTCCTTTCTAAGGCTGAATTCCATTGCATGTATTTGTATTCGTTAACCTGTTGATGAATATCTGGCTTGTTTTGCCTTTTCAGTACCATGTATAAGGCTGTACAGATCTGTTTGTGCTCTGTAGTCTCTGGGGATGTAGCTCAGTAGTAGAGAGCTTGATTGTGTTGCAGCCCCTGGAGTTTGACCTCCAGCACCACCACAAAACAGAAAAACGTCTTTTGGATATAAACCCAGTCCAGAGCCACTAGGCTGTATGTGGATTCTGTGTAGTC